GGCTTAGTTTAATAAACCAATAACTCTTTTTTATATTGTAATTAAGTTATTGGTTAAATATTTCTAAAGCTCTTTGTACTAAAATAATATCATAATCTTGAGCAGCAGTTAGGTTTCAGGTTTACTCGAATAAAACAAACAATTTGAGTAAAACTAATAAAACTAATAAAACTAATAAAACTAATAAAACTAATAAAACTAATAAAACTAATAAAACGAATAAAATGAATAAAACGAATAAAATGAATAAAACGAATAAAATGAATAAAACGAATAAAATGAATAAAACGAATAAAATGATAATAGTAATAATACTACTAGTAGTGATGGTAGCAGTGATTCGCAAAAAGTACACAAATCACATCCAGATAAGTAGAATATTAGATGAAGAGATTGCTAAATCAAAAAGCATAAAAATTTATACAAGTAATGATAGTTCATTAAATAGTCTTGATTTTAACTCTCTTCTCTTAAACACCGAAGGTGAATAAAAATTTCATTAATTAATTAATTTGAAATTATTATCCATTAGTTATTACTAACAATACTTTTTAATTGTATTAGATTCTAATAATTAAAAAAAGAATCAATGAATGACTAATAATGTTTGACACCGATGATTAGAGGTTGGCCACAATTGAACAAAATCTTAGTATGATTTTCCGCGGCGATAAAAATGATTCCATCTCTCTTTTGGTAATTTATCTATAAAAAGGAATTATGTAAAAATTGAGTTGCAGATCAATGAATGGATTTCTTCTCTCCTTTTTTTTCTTGCTGGTCTTTAACTTGTAATTTATTTTCTCTTCCGTGCTGTGTTGGGACAATAGTAATAATTATTTACAAGAAAATATGAAATTTTGCCGTCGCGAAAAAAACAAATACATGTCATATTAATTTTCAAAGGAAATCTTAGTAAACAATAAATAATTGTTACTTTTTGGATCAATATATGAGAGAGATCTTAGCAAACAATAAATTAGAATTCACCCAATAAAGTTTAAGATGGACATTCAAAAAAAAAAAGGTTCTGTGAAACATAATTCGACACACATCAATAATGTCTCAATTAACTTCTGTAATTAAAAGGGCAAACTCTTCTTTGCATTCTGCTACTGTTATATTTTTACATGTAAAAAATGTTTATCCTCAATATATTAAGTATGTAAATAATAAATTAATATTCAAGAATTAATAATATATATATATATATATGGTATAGGGTTTAGGTGATAGCGGACATGGATGGGAACCAATTGCTATAGAAATAGGTGAAAAAATGGAACATGTAAAATTTGTGCTACCAAATGCGTAAGCTTATTATTATAATAATGATATTAATACATAAAGATAATAATAATAATTGCAAAGACTTGATTTATTTTCCTTGTTGATATAGACCAATACGTCCAATAACTGTTAATACAGGTATGAAGATGCCTGGATGGTAATAATTATGATGCTTCTCTTATCCAGATAAAATCGAATATGACAAACAATTAATAATTATAAATTATATCACAGGTTTGATGTTACAACTTTAAATGTAGATCAAATAAATGGTGTGGATGAAGATGGTGTGATGGAATCTATTTCTCAAAGTATAATATTAATATTGATGTTAATGTTATATATAATGCTATTAATATTGGAAAAAATATTTATTGTGTTTACTTATTTTTCAGTAAAAAAATTGATAAAAGATGAAATTGACTCTGGAATTGTTTCTAATCGAATTGTTGTTGGAGGATTTTCTCAAGGAACTGCGATAGCTCTGGCTACAGGGATAACATCAGAATATCCTTTAGCTGGAATAGTTGGGTAAATTTATTCTTTTATATTTTATCTTCTTTTTTTGCCTTTTTAACCAAAAATTTTATAAATAATAGATTATGTGGGTTTTTAAGAATGGAAGAAAAGACTATTCAAGTTAATTATTATTATTATTATTATTGATTCTTTAAAATTATTTATATCTAATTAACATATATATATATATCTAATAAATGAATATTTAGATGTCCACTCAAGCAAATAAGAATACACCAATATTTATGGCTCATGGTAATAAAGATATGGTATATAATGATTATTAAATGATTAATCAATCTAATATAATTGTTGATACATATTTTATACAACTTTTATTTTATAGGTTGTAAAATATCAATTGGGTAAACGGACTTCAGAATTTCTTAAAAACAATGGTTATAATGTAACATTCAAAACTTATAATGGAATGGACCATTTTCCTTCAAATCAAGTGATCTCTGATCTAGCTTCATATCTGAAACAAGTTATTCCCTAAACTTTGTTCTCTTCAAAAACAAATAAAAAGACCAGTATTTATAATGTAATTCATCTATTTAATATATGTGCATACTGCAATAAAATGAACTTTTGTACTGCAATGAATTTCAGAGTTCAAAATTATCACCATTATACTACTGACATGCATGATATAACGATTTTATCTCCTAGATAGTTTTCGCACATAAACAATCTGAGTGTAGTATTTCCTAATAAATTATAATTAATAGTTGGTAAATCAATTTAATTGTATTTCACTTTTACTCTCCATTCTCTTGCATTTAGCCGATAATGTGAATGTGGTTTCATTTCACCTACCGAAACAAAGATTTACAATTAAAGTGGGACGTTTTGTCATTTTAACTCTCTACAACTAAAAACCAATTCAGGATTCTGGTTAATATTAAATGCATGAGAAATTGCGAATTAAGGGTGATCTACATTTTAATCTATAATTCGGATAACCTTTTTTAAGGGTAGTGGGAACGTAAGAAATTAATTTTTTTTAAAGATTAACATAAAAATAATAGCTTTTTTGACCAAGCGGAAAATTACTAATGACTATGGAATATGAACGATCTACTGTTAGCTAGTAACTAATTAACTAATTAATTGGTTATTAATTAACATTCCAAGTAAAATAAATGAATTTACTATAAAAGATATACCTAAGCGATCAAAAATCAGTAAATATTCATAATAATGTAATATTTGGACATTTATTTCTACTTATACTTGCAATTGGACGCGTCAAACAAAGTTTGACTTTGAGGGTCAGATTATTTTCGGTTTTATTAACAACCTGCTTTAAAATTTTTCTTAAAGCAGATACATATGATAAAGAAGTTATATCTCAAATTTGGTGGTGGTTGCTACACAGCAAGGGTATCAAACGGGGATGTAAAGACATTAGATTATAAAATTTTATTTGTTCCGTGAAAATATTCAATTCTTTCAAAAAAAATGTGGGAACAGCTGTCCTATTTATACGTTTTGAATCTAATAAAATAGACTATTGTCTTGTCCAAAAAAATATCTCCCTGTTCTGTTTCCTGTTCCTTCTGACCAGTCAATGAAAATTAGTTTTGATTGTAGGATGGAACACCTCTATAGTTTCACCAGTTACCAAAACCGACCGATTGGTGAATGGTGCAATGTTGAAACTAGTGTAACACTCTGAAGAATACATCAATAAAAAAGACCGTAGCTGAAAACATATTTTATTTAGAAAACTAACTAAAGTACATAATTTAAAAACCATTAATTGCTTTTGACTATTTTATATACTTCATAATCTTCCACTGAAAAAAGTTCATTACTATTATTACTAAAATTCAAATTTTCTTTATAAGAAGAATCAGAATCAAAAAAATAACAGCAATAAAGTTTATTGGAATTACTATTATAAAAAAAAGATAATTCATAAAAGCTTATCATGTATTCACTTTTATCATTATAACCACATATTGCTAATTTAGGGTCTTTGACTCTACTTAATATTGAGTTATCATTTATTTGATTTTCATCAATTTTAAATATAAAACTTTCATTAGTATGAATCCAATGATTCTCATCTGAAGACTTTCCTTTTATATTCCAACAAAGTGGATTATAGCCACCAATCAATATACCAGATTCTTCAATTTTAACAATAACTATAGTTTGTTGAATATCATTACATTTATCCTTAAACACTGATCTAGAGAATCCATCTCGTGTTCCTTGAAGAATCAATTCAAATTTATAAGGTATATCGTCATTTTCATTATACAAATCATTTTTTTCATCAATCCAGCTAGAAATCAAAAGTTTCATTTTTAAATTTAATAACACTTTTCCTGTTCTTGGACCTTTTTGTAGTAACAAACTTGGTTTCCAATTATGGTTATCATCAATAAGATGATAATCAAGAAGTTCTTTGTAAACTTCCTCACTGAAAACTTTTTTATAAGGTTCAATTTTATCATGAAAATCACTTAAAGATATTTGATCAAATCTGACAAATGAAAAGATATCTTTTAATACATTTTTTAACTCTTCAAAGTCATCATCACTCCATTCTGAAATATTCTCTTCCAAATTTTCAATTTGTCCTATTCCCCATTGAATAACACAATTCCAAATATCAATCTCATCCAATTTTAAATTATTTTTTTCTAATAAAGATATAAGCAATGGCTGTTCAATATTTTTGAAATCAGTAGATTCTAAAAATAATTCGGGTTCTTCATCAATTAGTGTTTTAAAATAATCTTGTAGCAAAACGAATGATGAATAATATTTTGATGAAAGTTCATGAAGATAATTTAAATTCTGTAAAATCCATTCTTCTTCTTTTACAATCAAGTAATTTTGTAAATAGTCAATCAATTCACTAAAATCTAATTCATCGCATGCTTCAATAAGTTCAACAATCTCATCAGGATTCAAATTATCCATATTAATAATACCATTGTACATATATCTATTTAATTTCATTCAAAAAAAAAACTTAGATTTGTCAATTAATTGATTAATAATTATATTAAAACAAGTTATATTAATCAATCTTTACGTTAAAAGAACTTTGAATGTTTTTGGAGAAATGTTTTCTTTTTTGAATAAAATAATACTGCCATCCTCGGATTTTTCGATCCAATTATTAGATAGAGCTGTCCTAAAATATAAAGACCTTGCTTTTAAAATGTTAGAATGAGCTTTAAAAATTTTAACATTATTGTCCGTTCCCACTTTAATTTCTACATCATAAAGGTCTGATTCATTTAACAGATTTGTTAAATCATTAATAACCTTGAGGATATATTTCAATGGTAAGTTATCTTTATTAGAATCAATAAGGCTATTAAATAATGTCGTAATATTTTCTAACGATGAAAAGGCGTTGGACATTTTGAATGAATATTTTTCTTATTGGAGAATTTAAATTTTAAAAAGAAGTAACGATTTGAAGAATTTTTATTTTTCAAAAATTGCGATTAATATTAATATTAAACCATAATATCTGTGTATCAAAATAAATGCTCAAAATGGAAAGAATGAGAAATTAAATGCATAATATTAAGTTTGTGAAATTTAATCTGATATTTTTTTTTGGCTTTACAAAAGATATATATTTTTTAAATTTTATTTTTTTTTGCAGATAAATTAAATTATTTATTTGTGAAAACTTGTATATATACAAATTATATAAAACTCGGTCAATTAAGAGAAATCATTTATAAATTATTCAATTTTATTTTTTTTTTGTACTATCGATCAAAACACTACACTACTAATTATTCATAGTTTTTTTTTCTTCTCGGACCAAATTCCACCTTTATATATAAATATTTATGTTAATAATAACATGATAAATAAATAAAAATTACATAATAATGATTTATTTTATTCTATTCAAAATTTTTTTTTAAATTAAAAACTAATAAAAGAAAATATTTTTATTATTACTATTTAATTTGTGGAAGGTGTCACACTAGTCACGTTTGGTGAACCATCATTATTATTATTATTATTATTTCCATGAATTTTTTGGTGACGACGAAGATTACTGACAACAGAAAAATGACGACCACATCCATCTACTGTGCATTTAAATGCTAATAAACAAACAAAAATAAAATAATAATTAATTAATTAAAAAAGGTAATCAATAAATCATTAATTCAATATATTATTACTTACGTTTTTCACCAGTATGACTGTACATATGAGTTTGTAAAGAACTTGGTCTTGTAAATCTTTTTTGACAAATTTCACATTTATATCTTTTAGGAGTCGATGAAATAGTTTTTGAATTAAAAGTAGTCATCATAGCTTGAGGAGAGGATACACTTGGAGATAATGTTTGTGGTTTATCTGGTGTGCCTCCATTATTATTATTTGAAATAACAGCTATATCATTTGTAACAGTATAACCTGCACCACCACCACCACCTCCACTCAAGGCAGCAATTGTTGCATATTCTTGTGGTGTAGTGCCCATTGCATAATTAACAGTTTCATGTTGAGCTAAACCGATTGGAGGTTGACCATAATAGTTAACTGGAGCAGCGGTTGTGGTAGCAGCAGCTGTACGAGCTAATTTCATTGAAGGATCATTGAAAAGAGCGGGATCCAATGCATGTTCTTCATAAGTTTTTGCTGGTTTTGGAGGATAAGGACCAAAAGGATAAGCTGAATTACTATTATTAGTCCATATTTCTTCAGTTTTTACAACACAATCGGATGATTCAGCAGCACTTGTATTATCACTAAATAATATATGAGGAAGGAGGAGGGGAGGATGAATAGGAAATTATAATTATAATCAAGTGATAATTATGATAATCATTTTTAATAATAATTTATAAATTATTAGCTCATACGCTGTTGATGTTGGTGCATTATCGAGTGCTTTTGTGTTGTTGGATGCTTTATTTAAATCCGCACTACTAATAGTGGCATCATTAGTAATTGTTTCAGTGGATGTAATGGCGTTTTTAATGGATTCAATTGTTGATGATGATCTTTGAATTTCATTAGTAGAAGAAAATTTATCACTAGAAGTTTCGTTATTATTAGCCCCACCATTATTATTTACTTTAAAATCATTATTAGAACTATTGGAGGCTGGATTAATTGAAGAATTGCTCATTATTATTTTTATTTTGTAGATGATTTTTTAATATATATGTATATATATTTTGCTGATTATTTTCTGTTGAATGTTAATCTTTATGTCTAAATAAATATTATTTTTTTGTAGATGATGATGATGGATGATTAACAACAATTTGTTATTATTATTGTTAGTTTTTAAAAAAAGATTATGATAAAACTACTGAAACCTCCTTATTTCTTGTAAAAATAAATAAATCGATTACCTTTGTTTTTATTTCAATTGTAAAATTTACTAAAATCAAGAAAATGTCTTTTTTATTTATTTTGCACTTGAAGTTTTTTTTTTTAGTTTGTCCAGTATTAAAAAAAAAATTTAGGAAACAAAAATTTTTATAAAGAAACAAGTGTAAATTTACGTATAAAAGAGCATAAGAAACTGATCAAAATATAATAAAGAAATAGAGAGAACGGAAGTTTGATTTTTTTTTTTGTGGGAATAAAAGATATATTATTAAATATATCTTTCTCTAATATACAACAAAGCAAACATAACAAAATACCGGTTACACAGATTCATAGTGGGTAAATTTCGTACGACTATTAAAATAAGATTGGAAAACCAATTTCTTCGGTCATTAATTTTTAATTTCTATATTTTTAGGTATTTTTACTGTTGCGAAAAAACTTGAACTTTCCCCAACCTGTTTGCTTCCCCTTCTTACAACGTTCGATTTACGCTAGCACATCTATTACACATTTTACAACAGTCACATATGACTATAGATGCCTCTGTAAGGTTGTCATATATGACTCATTCACTATGGAGGATACGTTTATGGGATTGTTGCAATCTTTTTCTTTGAGTTAGATTAACTTAATTATGAACAACAATATGATGTTTTCTAGGGCCATTACAAAGCTCAGATATTAAGAGTTACTGCTCGAAATTAAGCAACGCTTCTAGAAGAAGGGACGTGCGCAAACAGTATGATGCTCGTGTGTTGTTGATTGTTAACACTCTTATTCAAATATTTTAATTAATCACGAATGCCGGAAACATTGTTGGAAAGTTGAGAAATGGGTGTGTAAAGATGATTTATCTGCAAATAGAGGGTGCACATGTAGAAGATAGCATCTAAAACTTTGGATGTTTTGGGAAAATATTAAAGGAAGCAGCTCTGCTGTTACCAATCTCAAGATTTTGACTTTGCTCAATTAAACTTGGTTGATTATTCGATCCAAACTTAACAAACGACATCGTTTCATTGATTAAAGTACTTTGCTTGAGATTTATCAAATGGTAATATTTTATCTGCAAACATTTATAATGGTGCTACAATTTTTCATCATCATGAGTAAGCAATTAAGAAAAAGTAAAAAGAATATTGATAAATTGTTATCAAATGTCATATTATATTTAGGATACGGAAACTAAAGGAAGAAGGAAAAACATTGATTTCCTTGGCGTGTATATATGTGCGTGTGTACTTTTTACTATTTAATAAATTTTATATTATTTAAATTGGTCACAAAAGATACAATCATATAATTGTTAGGCTCATTGGTTTGTTATTACTATTAATATTATATATAAAAAATATATATTAGCCTTGTTAGATATCAATTGTTTATTGATGTGTTCTTGAGCGATATTCAATTCTTAAAATTTCATTTATAGGCGGTGGCGACTCTTCAATATGACGTATTATTCTCGCTTTAATGCTAGATCAGACCAGAGTATGTGCCGTAAAAAGTTCGCCGTGTGTATTATTATTTATTTTTTGATTAAATGGATAAATAATGCTCGGTTTTGATCATCTTTTCTAATTAAAGAACATTCTGGTAAATTAATAAGAAAGGAGAAAAAAGAATATAGGAAATGATATTTGTACGACGTTTTACATTTTTGTGACAGAAAAATAATAAAATGTATTTTTCCATAGAACATTACCAACAATTTGTTGTAATGATGATGATGCACATGTAAAGAAACGTGAAGTTAAATGATATTTATTGCCAAAAAGCTATTAGTGATGAAATTTCATCGGATCAAACCGGACTAGCTGCTAAGAAAAAATCGATTTCGGATCTAATACATTATTAGACACCAGCAGAACGCGACGTGATTTTGTTTTTACGTGTTTTTACGTTCATATTTAATTTGAACCGGTTCGAACCGTTTCACTGTTTCGAACCAAATACGCAAAAGGTCGTGCACAAAACACATAAAAAAACCAATAAATAGTCTCATATTGTAACTTAGGCTCTCTCCCAATATTATATTAATATGCAAAATCTGTTCCTCTGACATTTTTATTGAATTAATAATTAAAAAATAAAAATTTAACCGAAATCCTTTAAGAAATATTTCTCGCTTCAAAAAATCAATCACATAATAATCTTATCTGAAATTTCTTTTGCAAATAAATATAACCTTTTGGACCAATCCTCCTTCAAAAAGTTTTGAGCTCAAAATTTCAGCAGAATTATCGGTCTTTATAAAAACAAAGTACCAAACTACAAACATATCTAGAATTCTTGGTGTTCACAGAAAAACAGTGTCTCATACTATTAAAAAAAGGTCTTTATGAAAAAGATCATAAAAATAACCTTTCTGTATATATATAGGAATTTCCTTCGAATTATTCTATCCTAAATTACTAGTTCCAATATTCTATGTCTCTTATGGTTCGACCTATTCTATCTCAGGATTACCGGTTCGAGAATTTGGCTCGAACCCGAAACGAACCGAACGTTTGATTCGATAGGCAGGTAAATACCTAGCTCGAATATGATGTGATTTTGTAATTTTATATAAAAAACTAACAAGTAATCATAAACTCGCGTACCAAGTAAAAAGTTGTTCATCAGTTGGTTTATCTGTATTTTAAATTCGAATACCAAACGCGGTTTCGTGGTTTTACGTGATGGAAAAATAAAAAACCATTTATATTAATAAAATAAATGATTATTGAGGAATTATTTATTATTTATTGTTTTTAAGGGCTGAAGATTTATTTTTTTAATATTCGAGTCAACCCGAGTTTGACCTTTTCCGGTTCAGCCTGAACGTGACAGCTAGGTTGATCTGAATTCTAGTTGATAATAATAAGTTGATTAAGTATTGATTCGGTTTCGAGTGATCATTATTTTAATTATTTGTTTTATTACATATAAATAAATTATTAGGAAAATGATCACCAATTACAATATTATTAGAGAAATTGTTATTCGCACCCCCACGTGACTAAGACAAAGAATCAATAAAATCATCATATTTTAAGCGATTTATTTATTTGATCAAAGCCATTTTGCTAAACGATCAAGTTATTTGCTAAGCAATTTATTTGATCAAAGCCATTCATTGGTCACATTACTATATTTAGTCACGTGGGTGCGATAACAAAAATAGGGTAATTCCCTATTATTATTATTATTATTCAAAAAAAAAAAAAAAAATCTCAATTATCAAGATGGTGGTGAACTTTCCACCTGAAATATTAATACCAATAATCAATCACTTGAAAGACGATTACCAAACACTTTACTCTTGTGTCCGAGTTAACAAACAATGGCATAATATTAGTATTCCAACATTATGGAGGAACCCCTTTTACAGTTACAAAAGCCTCCAAATTATAATCAATTGTTTCTTGGTGAAGTACAAGTATGTCTTGCGAAAAAATAATATCATACTCACCATCGAACTATTGGATAAATCACCACTATACAATTATGCAAAGTTTACTACAGAAATAGATATTACTAATTATACTAAAAG